CGGCCCAGGGCCCCCTGGGCCTGTACCATGGTCCGCGACAGGGGGGTGGGGCTGCCCCGGGACCGTACCATTCGTCCCGGGGGAAGAAAGCCGGGCTGCAAACTTTGCCGTCCCATCCGGCGTTGGGAGCGTGCTTGAAGATCAGAGGCCAACTTTGTCATTTGACAGAGAACCAGCTGAGGCCTACGGGGAGAAAGTGACTTGCGCAAGGTCACTTAGTTAAGGAAACGGCTGGACCTGGAGTAGAACGCGGGTTTGAACGAGGAGAAATAAGCCGACAAAGGACAGGAAACTACTGTAAGCCAAGGGCTATATAATAGCTTTACCGGTGTTATCGATGTTATCTCAGTGATCCCCGTTATTCCTCACAATGGCTTTGGAGGGGGGCTTTCCCCCGCAGTTTTACAGATAAAGATAATGAAGCTCAGAACTTTGTGGCTTCCTCAGAGTCACACATTCAGTTACAAATTTCATTACACACAATTTTCAGTCATAGATTTTGAATGCCTACTTGTGCACCAGAGGCACATAACAAAGTGGTGGAACCCAGCCCTTCTTACTCCAAAGCCTACTTGATGCAGTCATCTAGGAGGACTAAGGGGATTGTCCTTCCCCTGTGCACTGTGGGCACTTTAGCAGCGTCCTTGGCCTCTACTCATTAGATGCCAGTAGCACAACCTTCCCCACCCCCATCACCCCACACACCCCCTGGTATGTCCTCAGGCACCGCAAAATGTTTCCAGGGAAATGGCTGAGGGGTAGGAGGGAGTGTAAAATTACCTCCCCACCCTACCCTTGAGAAAAACACTATACTGGATCAATTAGTCATCAACTAATCATTATTGAAAGCTAAAGACTTAAAATGCACTGTGATGGGCTATTAAAACAACTACAACAAAAAATGGGGAAAAAAACCCACAGCTACAACAATATTAATATTTAGTGAGCACTTACTATGTGCCCTGGTCTTAGAGTCAATAATATATTGTTATGCCTCTTTCCAGTTTGAAGATTCCTTGGTCACTTGAGTTCCTCACTTGGGAACTGCATTTGGACCATTAATTACAAAGGTAACAGGAGATCTAAGACTGGGCAGTTCTATTACAGAAACAGCAAAGCACCATGGAATAAACCCTATTCCCAGTTCTGTGCTGCTGCTTCCTAACTAAGAAATTTTCTGGGCCTCCATTTCCCTCTTTGTAAAATGGAGTTCACCAACTCTGCAGCAGTATCCAGAGGAGGGTGGGGATCAGATGAGGTCATGGGTGTGGCAGCATTTTATAAAATGCACAAACTCAGCGTGTACAGAGGTCAGGCACAGGTGGTTTGAGTGGATTTATATTTACATTATTTATGTTAGTTTGCTTTGGGACAATTTGCTTATTTTTTAAAATCAGATTCTTTTTCACTTTCGTAAAGAAATACATCCTTCCCCCATCTTTCTTCAAATACACTGCCATCTTCAGGTATCTTTAATTTGCTCACTTTTTAATGGAAATATGGGTGCAAAAAACTATTTCATTTTCCTCTTTATTATAAGAACAACAGCTCGAGCATGATGAAAAATAGCCACTGACACTCGAGATCATTGTCTGGAAGCAACAGGGTGTGAAGAGGACTCTGGCAAAGAGAGTTCATGCCCCCTGAAGGGAATGGCCACTGCTCAGCTCCATGAAGATAGGTAAGTCCAAAGGAGCCAAATCTTCCTATTATTTTCAAGAGAAGACAAAAATCTGGAATTTTATACCAAAACCTCCCCAGATTTATAAATTGCTAACTCAGTATATTTTTAAGACAGCAGTAAGAGCCATCCTTTTAAAATGTAAGTCAGATCATGTCATGGCTCAGCACAAATCCCTGCAATGTCTCCTCAAAATGGCTCCTGCAAAGGCCACAAGGCCCCAAGCCCCATATTCCCCTCCCTTAGGACAACAGTACCTTTCTGAGCCTGCCAGCAAGCTTCTACCTCAGGCTGTTCCCTCTGCCTGACTGCTCCTCCCCGCCCCCAATACCATATGGCTCACTCCTCACCTCTGAATCCTATTGAGTCTTCAAGTCACCTCAATGAAGCCTTCCCAGACCACCCTCTTTAAAACTACAAACCTCCCCCAAACACGCCATTCCTAACTCCCCTTACCCTGCTGTTTTCCCCTGAGCACTCTAACCTTGTAGCATCCCATATCATTTACTTCTTCATGATGTTTATTGTCTATCTTCCCTTAAAGCATGTAAATTTCATTAGAGATCTTGCTTATCTACTGCATATCCTAGGAGCCCAGAATTGTGTCTGGCACACAGTAGATGTTCAATAAATATTTGTTAACTGAGTGAATTATTTCAATGTTTAAAAATATCTTGAAGGTGAATCAGAACATGTCAGAGCCCTTGATTCAGTAGCTGTAAAAAATGCTGTTGCCCTTAGATAATGGAGGAGGGGTGGTGGTCACAGGACACATCTACTCTCTAAAAGGGTCTGGGTAGGGATTACCCATATCCTTTAGGGCAGGATTTTGAAGAGGTTCAAAGAACCCATACAGCAAAGTATAGGGACCTCCTCTTGGCCCCCAACATCAACAGGACTGGAAAAAGTTCAGATGTTCCTTCATCCCACCTTTCACCCCAATTCAGGGCATCATAGTTTCCATCTTCTGAATGCCCACTCCCCACTCCCAAGGAAGAGGAGATGGGAGTGGGGAGCAGAAAGATGTACAATCTTCACCAACACAGACATTTATTGAGCTCCTGATGTGGGCCAGGCACCAAAGAGGAGCACACAGAGGTATTAGACAAGGTCCCAGCCCTCAAGGAGCTCCTTGAGGATCAGGAGAAAGGAAAAGGGGGCAGGAGAAGCTGGTGTCAATCACGGGCCTCTCTCCTCTCTTTGGTGGTCTTGCAAATAGGGGGACCCAGAAAGGGACAGTTTGAACAAATGTCCAAGACATACATGCACAGGCCACACAGGTACAAGCACATGTGCAGAGCCCAAACAGAACCCATGAATAGGGCACAAGAAGTGTATGTGTTGCACATAGGTGGCATTCACACACAGAGTCCATATGTGCATAGGGCACATGGGTGTGACACAAAAACTGCATTTCTCCCAGCCCGGTTGGCAAGATGGGGGGAGGGCTCCAAGCCCCAGCCAGCCAGGCCTCTCAGGGCTGGGGCTGGTACTGGCCCTCTGTGGCCGTGAAGAAGTCCTCCAGCACGCTGCGCAGGTAGTCAAAGGTGGGCCGATCCTCCGGGCGCTCCTTCCAGCACAGCATCATGAGGTGGTACAACTCCTCTGGACAGTTGTCAGGTTGTACCATGCGGTAGCCTCGCTCCAGGTTCTGAATCACCTCAGGATTGGTCATCCCTAGAGGTTGATGGGAGAACTGACATCAAGGCTCCAGGCTTTGGAAGCCCACAGGCAAGGGGTGATGTTCAAAATATTTAACAACTGGTATGGTGTGAGCACCAATCCAAAGGGACCTTGGTCTTCATCAATGGTAAGGGCATACCAGCAGTATCTGCTAAAGGTCAGTTGTGCCCACCTGCAGTGTCTGCTGTGACTTAAACACTCAATAACACACACGTGTGGCTGTGAGACCTTAAGTGAGCCACCATACCTCTCTGAGCCTCAGGTTCCTCATCTGGAAAATGGGACAATAGTACCTCCTACCTCATAGAGTTGTTATGAAGATTGAATGAGATAGCGCATACGTAGCACTGAGTATAGTACCTGCAGAGGAGATGCTGCATAAAGAGTACTTGTGATTATCATGGTTTGGTGGGGAAGGATGGAGTGGTCACGGCCCAGGGTGGGATGGGGGCCCATGGCCAGGACAGTGGGGAGGCCTCTCCAGCTTTGGGAAAAGGCATGTGAGATGCTGCATCAGGAAGCCAAATGGACCCTGGGCTCTACCAAGGCAGATTCTACATGGGGCAGAGAAGGTCCACTAGGCCCCTCCATGACCCAGATGAAACCATCTTTGGGCCAGTTCCCTCCCTTTGTGCTGGCCCCTTGGTAGGCTCCTTGCATGTGAACCCCAAGAGGAGCTGCTCTGTAGAACTGCAGGATCACAGCAGAAATAAAGCTCCCTGTTTCTGAATTACCCACATGGCCTCTGGTTTCTCTTTCAGTCTCCTGGGAGACTGTGACAGGCAGTCCCAGAGCCTGACCCTTAGAGGGTCCCAGCAAAACAGGAGTTTTGCTCCTATAAAGCACCAGACTGGAGAGATCTTTCCTCCCCAGGCCTTGTGCCTGGGGGGCCTCTAACTATGCATCCCTCACATCAAAACCAGGACACCGAAAGATGATAGGCTAGGGGACAACACTCATGGCTACAGTCAAGGGTACAAACCCACTGGCTACACCCAGCCTAAATATAGCCCACAGACATACTTTGGTTTGGTCCCTATAGTGTTTTTAAATAATCTGAATCATCATCAATATTTGGAAATGGGCAAACTGTCCTAAAACTCCGTGTTTTGGCTTCTCTTAAAAAGACAAAGATCTGTGTTTTGGGCCCCCGTGTCTTAATAGCAACCATCTGCTGGAGCAGATGCAAATTCAGCCAGGTCCCCATTACTCCCCGTAGTCTCCCTGACCCTGAAGCCATGTGTCAGTTGCCATTTATCATCATGCTTTCACTGCCTTTTCCCTTCAATACAAAAATTATCTAAGGGAGCAGTGACAGCCCTTTGCAGGATGACTGGAATGTGGGTCTAGCCCCAGCGCTGCCCCTGGACTCTGTGATGGGGCAAGTCCAGGGCAGCAAGGTCCTGCAGACTCTCACCTGATTCAGGTGACTTTACCTTTCTAGGAGCAAAGTTCTGTGCACACTGCGCTGGCGACATGGGAAGCTTCTGCCAGTCCCACCACTGTGCTCCATAACCTCCCTACCCTGTCTTTGTGTTCCATTTCCTTTCCCCAGAATTTCCAAGTAAGGTTCTTCCAAAAAAATTCCAATCCTGTCTTGCCTGAATTCAGAGGTAAAGGACTTTGTCCAGGAGTTAGAGGGAGGGGTGGGAGAGGGTGAGAATTAGTTGTTTACATGTCTCTCTCGCTCTTTGCACAGAAAGCTTCAGAGGGGAGGGAAGTCAGTGTTTAGTGAGTATCTGAGTCAAGCTCTTTTCCAAATAGTCTTGTTTTTCATATCATGAAACTGAGGCTCAGAGAGGTGATGTCATCTGCCCAAAGTCACTTGCCCAAAGTGATTAATAATAAAACCTAACACTCCTGAGTGCTTAGTATGGGTCAGGTACTGTTCTAACCCCACATTTTATAGCTGGGAAAACAAGGAATGATCTGATCAAAGCCAAACAGAAAGCATCAGTGGCAGATCTGGTAACAAAAAGCATGTCTCTTGCCTCCCAGGCCAGATCCTCTTCTACATACTAGGCTGCCTGTGTCAGAACTAAAGAAAAGAGCTGGGATTATTGAAGGAAGAGAGATCTGGAGAGGGAGATGGAAGCCAGCCCTGGGGGATATAGGAGTGCCACCCTTGAGGGATGGAGGAGAAGCAGCTAGAAAGTTTCAGATTCCCAGGCTGGGAAGAAGTGAGTGGAAAGATGGATTTGCTGCCCTTCCCCATCAGCCCCTTCAGTTACTGCCCTTAACCCTGACCTGGGTAAGGGATGCGGCCATGAGTGACAATCTCTGTCAGCAGGATCCCGAAAGACCACACGTCCGACTTGATGGTGAATGTCCCGTAGTTAATGGCCTCTGGTGCTGTCCACTTAATGGGAAACTTGGCCCCTGGAGGGAGGCAGAGTGAGGTCACTGGGGTCTGCTTGGCTAGACCCTGTAGACCCGAGACTTCCCTCATATCCCACACCTACCCTCTCTGGCTGTGTACTCATTGTCCTCAATCAGACGTGCTAGGCCAAAATCTGCGATCTTGCAGCTCAGGGTATCTGACACCAGGATGTTGGCTGCCCTCAAGTCACGGTGGATGTAATTTCGCTCTTCAATGAATGCCATGCCCTCTGCAATCTGCAGGCCGGGTACAGGTCAGCAATCCTGGGCCAACATCCTTATCCCACTGCCCTGCGCCCACCACCAGCCTCTCCCAGGTCTCCTTACTTGGGCTGCCATGTCCAAGAGTTTGTTGATGGTCAGCTTGATGCCTGTGGGGGTCTTGAGAAAATCCACCAGGCTTCCTGTGGGCAGAAGCAAGAGTTGCTGACCCAAGGTGCCCCAGGAGAAAGCTCCCAGACCCTTCTCCTCTGACTGGGGGTCTAGAAGCAGTGTCTTACATGTGGAAAGAAAGAGTAAGAGCTACAAATGAAGGAGTGTGTGTTCAGAGTGAGGATACCCAGGATGTGTGAACATCCCAGGGACTAGGATGCTGCACTCTTAGATGGGTCTGCAAGCTTCTTGTCACCAATGGGATAGAGCCTAAACTCCTCAGCCAGGCATACAAAGCCCTGCAAGTCCCATATTTGTAGCTTCTTCTCTTTCCTCAACTCCTGCCCCTTTCACTCTACTCACCCTAGATAATGTTGAGATTTTTCACATAAACCACTGGGTTCTCACTCCAAAGTCTCTTCATCCCATCTCTCCTAAAAATTCTACTTTTCGTACATGACTCAGCTAGACTTGTCCTCTAGAATGTCTCTCTAGATCCTACCAGGCATAATAAATTGCATCATCATCTGCCTTCCCCATAGCATGCTGGAACTTGCCCAGACTCTGGTTTTCCTAGTGTACATAACTAAAACAAGGTTTCCCTGATAGCAGGAGCCTTGTTTTATCCATCAGTGTTTCTAGCCCACAGTAAGCAGCAATAAATGTGTGCTGAATATACCAAACGGAGTATGGAAAGAGGCCTGGGGGCCTAAGAGACTACGTCTCTGGTAGCAGAGGGTGACTAGGAGAGGACCAAGGATAGGAGTGGCTGGAACGGAGCTAGTGATCACTGGCTCTTCTCAAGAGATTAAAACCCTGTGTGAAGATGACAACAACCTGAGTGTCCCCTCTATGAGTGCTGAATTAGTCACTAAAGACAAAGACCTCACCCAGAGGCAGCAAATGTTGACATATGCCGCCATTCCTCCATTGTGTCCATGGCAGATGTTGCTAATCAATCACAGCACTCACTTCCAATGAACTTCAGAATCCTTCTCAACACAGAACTTCAAGCAACTACCAAATGAAAGCGGCCCACAGGATAAAACCTATTTTTCATTTCCAGAATCCATTAGCCAATTAACAGCTTTTTTCCATTCCTAAAAGGTGGACAGATCTTATACTCCCAAAGAATCAGAACCAGATAACAAAAAACTTACTGGGCAGTTACTATATGGCAGCCACTGCTCTGCTTTATATGCCATTAACTTTCATCCCCACAAAGACCCTATAAGAAAGTTACTATTGCATTATTATCACCATTTTACAGATGAGGAAACCATGGCAGAAAGAAGTGATCAGCCCAAGGCCACACAATCCTGAAGCCAGGGTTCCAACCCAGGCAATCAGATTCTCGAGTCCTTAATGACTACTCTTATTTCTGGATAAGCCCATTTAGATTTCTGCTGTTATACTTGGGGAAACTGCACATCAGAGGTGGGACAGGGACTTGGCCTGTGTCACACAGCAAATCAGGGGCAAAGCTGGACCTAGAAATTCCTATTTACCTTCCTGGGGCTCTCATCTGTCCAACATTGGACGAAGCGAGGGGGAGGCCCACCCAGAACTGAAAAGGAGGACTTTGGAACAGATCTGCCCTCCTAAGGCTCAGAAGCAGAAGGGAGAGAAATGGGGTTAGGGACATACTCATCTCCTGAGATCAAGCATCCTTAAATCAAGGTAGGGCTTTGAAGAAGGCAAACAGGGCTGCAGGTCAAGGAAGACTGGGGGTGGGGGTGAATGCTCTTCTACAGCCTGCCACCTCAGGTTGGGCTCCCAGAGGGGGCTTTAATGACACACCCTCTTCAAACACCCTCTTGTCGCCCCTGGAGGTTAATCTTTAGGGGCTCAGGAAAATTCCTCCAGAAAACCTCAGGGCTGAGCCCTGCATATCTTCACTCGCTAATAGGAGCAGAGGAAACCACAGCGCCCCTCCCTGGGGCCACCCATGGCGGCGCCGCCCACCGTTCTCCATGTATTCCGTGATGATGTAGATGGGCTCCTGGGTGACCACAGCGTAGAGCCGAACCAGCCGCTGGTGCTGCAGCTGCTTCATGAGATTGGCCTCGGCCAGGAAGGCATCGGGGGACATGCTGCCCTGCTTCAGGCTCTTCACTGCCACCTTCGTGTGCCCGTTGTAGTACCCTGAGGCAAGAAGGTGTTGGGGGAGTCAGTCGGGGCCCATGGACCCAGAGCCAGGCAGCTGCCCTGAAACAGGACACTGTCGTAGGACTCTCACGATCTCAGTAGACTCCTTCCCTCCCCCCTTCTCCGCAGTCCTGGAAGGCCTCACTCACCCATCCACACCTCCCCGAACTGGCCAGCCCCCAGCCGCTCCACCAGCTTCAGCGTCTCCCTGGGAACCTCCCACTCGTCCTCCCACCAGGGCTTCTGGGGCTTCTGGGTCTGGCAGGGGCGGCTCAACCGCGTGCACAACCCGTCCGAAGAATCTGTGAGGACAAGGGAGAAGGGTAGGGCTCCCAATATCGCGGGACTCGGGGTCCCCACCCGGTCCCCACCTGAGGAAGTGTACTGGCAGAGGAGGTGGGGGGCTGTCACCTGACCCCTAGGGCTCTAGGGTACCGCACCTCACCCTTTACAGGGGGAATGAAGGAGACGGGTGGAGGTTACCCCTGAGAGGGACTTAGGGGAGGCAGGCTGATAGGGCACAGGTGAAGGAGCCTCAGGCGCACGTCTGAGGGAGTCCTGCTGGGCTCACTTGTGTAATGGCGGACCAGTTCATGCAAGCCAGGAAAAGTGATGCGAGGGGAGATGTAGAAGCCGCCTTTGTCCAGGTTACGGATCTTGTAATGTTTCACCACTTCTCCCTGGTTCTGGTCGAAGTCCCGGACAGACAGTGAAAACGACCCTGAATGGAAGAAAGGATGAAGGAACACAGCAGAGGGGGAGGGGTGGACTCCAGCGGGTCGCACCTCCCCCCACGCGCCACCCCCACCCGCATCGGGCTCTCAACCCCAGGACCTCTGGGAGCAGCAGCCCCATCCCGCGGCCCCGCCCATAGCCCCGCCCTCGAGGCCCCGCCTAGCGGCTCACCCGCGGTGCTCTCGCTCTCCCGGATCAGGAAGGAACCGTGCGTGTTCCCGGGCGCCAGGAGCTGTCTCTCCGCGTCCTTGCGGCTCAGGTTTTTGAAGAACCATCTGCGCAAGGCAGAAGCGAAGGCTTCTTTCATTTGTTGGTCCGTTCTTCCTCCATCACCCTCAAGCCTTCACCACCACCTCTCCTTTGCTCCAGGGTCCCTGGATCTACTCCCACCCATCCCTTCGACGAGTCCCTACTCACGGTTCGGGCTCCAGGCTGTTTGCTTTGGCCACGAAGTTGAAGGGGATGAAACCTTCCTGGCCTGTGGTCAGGGACTGCGCCTTCCACCACTCGCCGTTCCTGCGCGACAGCGGCAGTTAGCGTGGTCTGCTCAGTCTTGGACTAGGCAGGAAACCCTCCCTCGGGACCCCCAGTTAGGCCATGCCACCCCACCCTGCAGCTAAGCACTCCGGAGCCTCCCATTTTGTCTCATGAGCATCCACTGCAAGCCAGATCAAGGGCCGCAGGAGGGCTGCGGTACCCGGAATCCCCGCTCCCTCACACTCTACCGCTGGGCAAGGATGGGTGGCGCGACCGGGGCACTCACTGCTCCAGGATGCGTAGCTGTTCACCCTTCTCGAAGCCCAGGTCTCCATCGTGAGAGGGCTCATAGCTGTGCAGGGCGATAACCAGGTTGTCTGTAAAAACAGGGAGCGTCAGGGATAACTACTCTGGAATGGGCTGGGAGTATTAGTTCATGAGTTAAACAGGGCAGAGGAAAAGACTAAGGGAATGGAAGGACAGTTGGAGGGTAGGTGGGGAGGAGATGAAGGCCCACAGCCAAGGGTCCTTATCTTTGGGGCCTTGGTGGTTGAAGTCACCTTGCAGTGGAGAGGCTGGAGGGTTGGAGCCTTCATAAGTGACCAGTGGATCCCGCACTTCAGAGCCATTCCGGATGGGCAGCTGTAGGGGAGAGAGGGGGATGAGCAGAGACAGAGAGCAGGAGTCTGTGTCAGACCCTAGCTCCCCTCCCCACTACCCTGCTCTTCTTCACTTGAGCTTGGCCGCATCTTATCACTGAATTTGCTAGCCGCTTGCTGTGTGACCTTAGGAGACTCCCTTCCCCTCTCTGGGCTTCTTCCCATTCTGTATTGCAGAGGAGGGGGCCTCGTTATTTCAAGGACCTGTAGTGTTGGTCCATTTCTTTCTTCTGGGTTGTACACACCACCCAACTCCCTCACCAAGCCCCCTGTCTTGCCTCTTACCGTGGCCTTGACATCCAGTGGGACTATTGGGTAATGGCAGTTCTCACATACATCAATGTTTTCCATCCAATCATCTTCAAGGTTTGAGCTGCAGCTACAGCCCATGGTCCCTGGGAGAGTGGAGAGGGGGCTGAAAGGACCCCCCAAGAGCTACTTCCCCAACATCAGACATGCTAGGGCCTAGCCCTGGGAATTTCCACAAGTGCCTGAGGTGGCCAGGCCCCCAGCCCACAATCACCAGCCACAGAAATCTGAAATGTGGTCCTAACTCCCAGTAAAGTCACACATGGCCCCTCGTTGAGCCCTAGGCCCCGCCCTCCCACCTGGGCTGGGCAAACCGCCACAGGCACCTTTGTTAGTCTAGAAGCCCACTTCCTGCCTCCCCACCTCCCTCTCTCTCTGCCCATCCCCCAAGTTGGGGGACTACCTACTAGAGATCATATACACTTCGCCAAGCCCTAGGGGAGACCTAAGTTTTGATCCTCCCTACCAGAAGGGTGTGTGCGCCTCACCTCCTAACTATAATTCCCCTCTCCAGCCAAGGAAGGTAAATAAGACTCCTACTCCTGAATGTCAGCCATCGGGCCTCTGCTCCCCCAGTCTCCCACATACAGAGTCTCCTTCAGAAGCTTCTTTCTGCTGCTTCCCAGCAGAAAACCCTTCAGCAGCCCTATTGGTCATATCTTTTTATTTGTTTGCTTGCTTGAGCAGTGGAAACTTTTTGTCAGATGAAATCAAGCAGAACCCCATAGATGAAGCAGGTAAAAGTGGAGCTGTTCTGCCTGAAGCTCCTAGGAGTCCCTGCAGCACCTCCTTCCCAGGGCTGCTCCTCAGAACTGCTTGGAAAGCACTAGTCCTCAGATAAAGCTTAATTTACCATGCATTCAAGATCCTTTCATATCAACATCAAATCCACCTCCTCTGTCTATTCTGTTACACACACACAGACAGACAAACAAGCACCCCTACCCACACATTCACACAGCCTGTGTTCTGAGCTACTTCTCAAAACTTCACACTTTCCTTACAACATTCCCATGCATGTGGTTCCCCTGCCCTGGAATACTTTTGTCCACCTGTTGAACTCAAGGCTCAGCTCAAATATCACCTGTCCGATGAAGGCTTCCAAGTGCTCTTTGCTCCTACAATGTTCCACTCAGCCCACGATCATCAACTTAGACACTGAGTGCCATGATTAGACTAACTGATGTGTCAGTCCCACTGCATCTCCTACCCCCTTAATGAGATGGGGGATTCATCAAGAGCAGAAGCTGTGTTTTATTTTCCTAAATGTCCCAGCACCCAGAACTATTCTTGTTAATAATTGTTGACTAGTATGCAGAGGGTTAAAGCACAGATTCTCCACCTGCAAAATGTCTTAGAAACCACCAAGTCTAACCTCTGATTTTAGATGAGAAAACCGAGGCCAGAGCAGAAAAGGCCTGCTTAAATTCACACAATTTGGGGCCGAACAAAGCTAGAGTTGTTAATCCATGCTGGGACCAAGTGGAAGTGGGGAGCAGTGGTGGTTTTTTGGTTAACAACTTTTAAAGAAATATGTCAATTATATTTCAATTAAAAAAAGAAGAAGAAGAAGATTCAAGCACAGGCCCCAGAATCAGAGAGATCTATGCTCAAATTCTGGTTCTGATACTTATTGTGTCACTTTGCTGAAATCATTCTACCCAAGCCTCACTTTACCTTCTCTGTCAGTTGGGGACCATCACCCTTTTCTCAGAAGCTTAGATAAATGTTAGCTTAGTTTTGAGCTTAGAAAGTCTTCCATCAGTGCCCAGTCTGCCCTACCAACCCTTCCTTTGGAAGGTGGGAGAATGGGACTGGTCCATAATCCTCTTTGCTTTAAACTCATGTTTCTTAAACTGAGATACTTATAACCTTTCATGGGTACTGGAAGTCATGGGTGTGCACCTTCCCAAAGCGTGCACCTTTCCAAAGCATGCACCTTCCCAAAACTTAGTCACAGAGTTAAACAAACATAGATCTATTACAAATAGAGAAAAATATAAAATGTACAAGGAATTTTAAGCCAAATCAAGAGCCTTTCAAGGAAAAGGGTATCCATTTACTCTTCCCCCTACTGTTAGAAGCATCATGGGACACATTTGAGAAATCCTGTTCAGCCAGAGTCCCACCCATCTGTGGCTGCATATGGCTATTGATATTTTTTATTGCTAATTTTACTATGGCCAGGAACTGATTAGCAGCAGAAGCCTCCAGAAAAAAACTGATAACAACCTGGAACTAGCCTAAGATGAGCTAAGCTGTCTGATAAGGCCATGAGCATTCTGTTGTTTGTGATACTCAAATAGGCCTTGGAAAACCAAGGGTTGGTTATATTATACAGAGAACACCAACGTGGGATGAGATGTCAGCTTAGATCAGTAAGGTCCCTTCTAGGCTTGACATTCTTGGAGGCTTTGGAAAAGACTAAGAGAAAGATGAGAAAAGTTTCGAGGTGAGAAAAGAGGATGGACAGGGGTGCAGCAGTAAGTAGAGGCCGATAGAAGGGGCAGTAAGAATCTAGGCTGAAGATCATAGGGTTGGAAGCTGGTTCCTAGTCCACAGTAGGGTCACATGGGAAGGAAAAAGGAGCCACAAGGCCTTGGGTCAGGGTCCGGGAAAGCATACAGGCAGGACCTATATCCTGCATGAATCTGGGCCTCCCAGAAGGAATCTGATGTCCTTAAAGACTGGGGCCAGATAAAAAAGAATGAAATATTGCCATTTGCAGCAACATGGATGGACCTAGAAATTATCATACTAAGTGAAATAAGCTGGACAGAGAAAGATAAATTAGTATATGATATCACTTATATGTGGACTCTAAAAAAAAAATAATTCAAAGGGGAAGGTATAGCTCGAAGTGGTAGAGCACATGCTTGCATGCATGAGGTCTTGGGTTCAATCCCCAGTACCTCATCCAAGAATAAATAAATAAATCTAATTACCTCCCCACACCCGGGCGGGGGGGTGGGGGGGAGACAGGGACCAGGAGTGAGAAAAAGTCAAGCTGTGTTAAATTAATCTGAAAAGAACTTGGTAACTCTGCTGGGTATGTGACCACTAGTGTTTCCTCTGTGACTTGTTTTGTGCTCCTAGAGTCTTCCAGCTGCAGATAGAAGGCCCTGCCCCCTCCCAAAAGTGTGAGCTTTAGAGTATAGGGCCGGGCAGCAATCAGAAGACCCCAGGACCCTAGAGGTTATTTTGGTGAGTGGCTTCCAGCCACTGGGAGCTACATGCTCCTATGAGGCCCCAGGATAATGTTGAAGGCCTGCAGTTTATTTCAATATTTTAAAAATCTGAAGGGAAATGGTACTATGATTTGTTCCTTAGTTTGACAACTTGGATTACTGTTTCTTCAATGCATACTTAGTTAAGTCTCTGATTAAAATGTGAACTAGAAAACAAGAAAATTAGTACCTACGTGAGGTAGTTTAATAAGCAAAAACTTCAAAATCATGAGATCCATGGTGGGAGGGGAGGAAGTACAACAAGGGAAAGGCGAAGGAGTCTCTGGAGGGAAGAGTTTAGAAGCACTAGTGTAATTCACCAGCCTCGCTTTAAAAATGGAGAAACTGGTGGATCAGAGAAGTTGAGTGATTTTCCCCATAGCACATGAGGGGCCTTGGCAGAGGTGAAACTCAAATCAGGCTTCTACCTCCTTTATCAAGGTACTCTCCTCTGTTGTTCACTTCCTGGAAAGTCTAAAGAGGGTAGGGAATCCTGAGAGGTCATGGAGAAAAATAGACCAGGAAGGAGGTTTGATCATTGTGCGGTTAAGAAAGGCCTTTTTCTCTAAGACAGTTCTCCCTCTACCTAGAATGTGTGTTTGTGAATATACATTTACTGGACTGGTGAATACAAGTGTCCGTGCATATGGAGGTGTATGAATCAGTGAGCATTGTGCTTATGTGTTCACACCCACGGGTGTGTAAGAGTCTGTGTGTGCAGATGGATGTATAACAGAACAGGGTATGTATAATTTGTGCCTGTCCCTATATAATTGTGTTGTCTTATATGCATGTATTTATTTATACAAAATGTGGGTCCCATCTTAGTCTTAGTTTGACAAAGATTGCTGGGTAGCCAAAATGATCAAACCAAGTTAAAAAATGAGGTCAGCAAAAAGAAATCAAAATTAAAGCTTAAATATAAAATTTCTCATCAGAAGGAAGGAAGGAAGGAAGGAAGGAAGGAAGGAAGGAAGGAAGGAAGGATGGGAGGAAAGGGGAATAGATCCACAGAATCCCCAGGGCTCTTAAGACCAGCAACAAGGGCAGATTCTGGGGTGAATGAAACAGGACATTCTCTTCTCCCAGCTCAGGAATTCAAGGTCAATAGAAGGAATTTTGTAGGTTCCAGATCTCCTCTGACTAGAGTCTGTAATGTTTTCTGTCAAACTCAAGGTCTGTCCATGGTCCACAGAGCACTTTGTACTGGTTATAAAGGGCCACTTCCCTGTGGTTTCAAACAGAGAGTGGAATGAGGACTAGATTTCAGTTCCTACCCCTTCTTGTCCATTAGCACAGTGCCCAACACACATAGTGGTCCTGCTCACGCTGTAGAATTGATCAAAATTTCCAGGCTGCGTGAAGCTTCTGGACTAGATTTTCTGATCCCAGGGTTGTTTAGGAATCATATCTCAGTGAGTTCTATTCTTGCCAACTTGTTCACTTTTATTGATTCCATAGACATGATCTTGCCTGGCTGGGGCTAGAAGGTGTTTTGTCTCCTTAAAAAAAAATATCCAACACATTTCCTCCCCTAAACTGTAAACCTATTCATTTGTTAAACATTCTATCCAAAATGTGTGCCAGCTTCTTGCCTGGTTTTCTCTGGCTAATGCTTCATGTTAAAAGTAGGCAAGGTAGGGAAGGTATATCTCAGTGGTAGAGTGTGAGGTCCTGGGTTCAATCCCCAGTACCTCCACTAAGAAATAAACGTAATTACTTGTTGGCATTGTACAGAAATTAACAGCCATATTGGTCTAGAAGCATTAAACATAATTTTTTGCGTTTGTATAAGAGTAACACACTGTATTGAATATATAAATTCTTACCTACATGGGTTTGATTACAGAAACTAATAAAGTATTCTCTAAATAATGAAAAAAAGAAATAAACCTAATTACTTAATAAATAAACCTAATTACCTCCCCTAAAACAATAACAACAAACAAACAAGCAAAAGAATTGCAAAAAAAAGAAACTAAATTAAAAAAAAAGCAGGCAGGCTATTCCACTGCAGACCACTGTTGTACTCTGGGCCACCTTGTGGCAAAATCTGTCAGGAATAATTTAAAATATTTTCTTGGTTTTTTTCCTTTGGCCAAGATTTGGTTATTGGCAAAATTGCATACTTTCGGGAGGAGGGTATAGCTCAGTGGTAGACTGCGCACTTAGCATGCACCAGGTCCTAGGCTCAACCCCTAGTATCTCCATTAAATAAATAAATAAGTAAACTGAATCACCTCCCTGACCAAAAAAAAAAAAACTGCGTATGTTCAATGAAGAGACTGGGCTGTGGATGCCCACACAGCCCTCATCATGGTTCTCAATAATCAGGGTTGACAGGCATGGTAAATAATTTCTTGTGGGTACAACAAGGATGTGTCCTTTTTCATGTTTTCCCTCTTTGATATAATACCATCTTTGAATGAACCCCGTGAGTTCACAGAGTTCACAAAAACAAAACGGAGGGGAGGGTATAGCTCAAGTGGTAAAGCCCATGTTTAGCATACATGAGGTCCTGGGTTCAATCCCCAGTACTTCCATCAAAAAACTAAATAAATAGAAGAACCTAATTACCTCCTCCCTGCAATAAATAAATAAATAATTTTTAAAAATTTAAAAAAAGAAAAAGAATATTTAAAAAACAAAAACAAAACAGAAAGATAAGCCTTCCCTTGCATGCAAACAAGGTGGATTTATTCTCACAAGTTGGGAGCAGCTTGGACCTAGACCTGATTCTAATAGATAATTATTGCCATAAACAAGGACTGTAGAACAATCATTCTAAAGATGATATTTTTGGTAAAGGCCCTCCAACTAGGAACTTGTACGTCCCTAGTAATTCCTTTTATTGGGTCCCCTTCCTCATGTACCTCTGTATGTATTTTGCATCAAGGGGGTTTTATCAGGACTAGTTTGGCAATCCAGACCACTTTATTAAAGTTTCTGAGAGTCTGCAGGGCAGTGAGTTTTCAGGTCACCATGTCCATGTCAGAGTGACCCAAGTTCATTCCCAAGGCCTCTTAGTCACTCACTGGCAGAGGGTGTTTGGGCAGGTTACTACACCTTTCTGAGCCTCCCTCAGTTCCTTTATCTTCAAAAAAAGGACCTGCATCTAAGATTACTGTAAGCATTATACATGATATCTAGATGATCTTATATAATAAAGTACTTTACGTGGTGCTTGGTACAGAGTAAGCCCTAAAAAATGAGAAGATAGTTATTTGAGGCTAGCATGGGCATTTCATTACCCCAGCCCGAAGCATTTTCAATTTCCTTTCTGATTTTTGGCACTTCTACAGACCACTTTTTCACCTTTAATATATTTACCTCAAATGGAAACTACCAAAAATGGAAAACCAGTACCACCAGCCATAAATAGAAATCAGTATATATTAAAATAAACACATACTATAATACATACATTCACATTTGTAAATGTTCATTCATTACCCCCCTAAAATCACTCACCCGCATCAATGGTGCGTGGGCCATGTTTGGGAAAATGTACTGCAACACAAGCTTTGGGCTTAGGCCTCTACTGGTGAATTGGAGGAGGCACAGTTTTCTTACTTAGCCAACCTATCAACCAAAATTTAATGGCTCTGCCTTATGTGTCAGGCTCTGACCTAGAGCTGGGAACACAGAGGTGAGCTGACAGAGAGGTCCCTGTGCACTTGGCCCTGCCCTCTGTGACAGAGGTGGGTGCCCCTCTTGCGGGCCAGTCCATTTTCACAGGAGGCATTCAGGCCCGTCCTCAACTTGCTGATCTGTAATGTCTGTGACTCCCGACAACACTGACAACGCAAAACAGCAATACTTGCCAGGAAACAGCATCTCAAAATCACCACCATCACCCATTAAACCAAGTTAACGACATTTAGCTAAAACCATTGAAGAAGATGAGGTAGATCTCCATGCATTGATGTGGAAATAGGTCCCAGACATAACACGGCAAGCAAGTTACAGAACAGAATGTAGAGTATAAGCCTATTTGCATTTAAAGATGTATATATAGGGGATTCTTTTAAGCCAGGCTCTGTTCTAAGCCTTTATTTGCATGACTTCATGTAATTCTCATAATAATCCTATGAAGTAAGTACTATTAATAGCCCCATTTTACAGATGCAAAAACGGAGGCTAAAATGGGGCAAAACAATTTGTCTGAGGCCTCATAACAAATAAGTCTTTGGAGTGGCAAATCAAACCCCATTCTACCTGCCTCAAGAGACTAGGCTCTTAACCAATACGCTTTTCAGCAGCCACACACACAGAGGAAAATCTGGCAGGATGCACACCAAACTGTTCACAATGAGCATATCTCAAGAGTGAGACTGGAAGAAGCCGCATTTCTTATATTTTTTTAAGTTTAATTTTCTTTCTTTTCTTTCTTTCTTTTTAAAGTTTAATTTTCTTTAAATTGAATATAGTTGATTTACAATGTTGTGTTAGTTTCCTGTGTCTCTTATATTTCTTTAAATGCCCCAGTACTGTTTGAATTTTTAAAAACAGCCACATGCTAATTTTGTAATTGAAAAACAAACAAACAAAAAAACAACAAAACCACCAACACAGGAACTCCACCAAGAAATAAAATCACCTGAGAAAGATCAACCATACAGCTTGCCCTTCCACTCTTCTCCTTGTCTCAAGACGTGCAGACATGGGATATGGGTACAGGGGAAAAGATTCTGTGATGACAGAAGTCTGGGAAACACTGAACCAGTTAGAAACAATCAAGCAGGGAGACTTTCTCTGGGGAGACTCTTAGAGCTTCAATAAGCTAACGTTGATCACGAAGTAAATATGGGACACTCCGCAGCTGAGGCCATGTTAATTTGGCCCCAGAACCATTTCCTTTCCAGGTGCCTCATGGGCCTAGCATTCTTTAAAACACGCATCGGAAATGCCACTTAAGAGACTTTAAAAGCAAGTCTGTATTTGGTTGGTAGAGGCCACGTCCCTGGATGGTATCTTTGTCCCACCTGCCCCCGTCCTACCTACGTACCCAGCTACCCTCAGCATTGCTTTCAATGAATTGAGCTTGGTCTTGAAGCCATCAGCATGGGTGTGTGTATGGTTTTGTAGGATCCAGTGTGTGATGTATGTGCAGTCCCTGCTTCTGCCTCTGAATGTACATGTACACATACATTTTCCAATGATGATATAAATGTTATTCGGGCTAGAGAGGGAGGGTGCCCGTTGTATGTATATGTGTGTGTGTGTGTGTGTGTGTGTGTGAAGCTGTGTATGGGACCCTCGTCTAAGGTGGATCCTGTGGCTCAGCCTAGAATTCTCACACCTACTATACACAGGAAATAAGTTCATTTGCAAAGCCACACCACAAGTGTGAGGGAATGGGCTGCTCACTGGTCTGCCAAGGTGCTGAGTAGGAGTAATTCTGGGTGTGGACAGCACCCCCCTACCCCTTGGTGCACAATTTGCAAGAGAAGGTGGGGTGTTGACCTCCATTAAGCACCTACTATGTGTCAGGTACTATCCAGGGCACACCGCAGCCATTATTTTCTCTTTGATTCCCCACAAGCACTCTGTAAGGGAGGGATTTACTATTGTCTCTTTACCAATAAGTAAACTGTAGTTCAGAGCGGTGAAGCCACTTGTTCAAGGAAATGGCAGAACTGGGACTGTGCCCGGTCGGACTCCGAAACGCACATCCCTTGCACTACACCAAACCCGCCGGCTCTCTTGCGTTTGGTCTTGCTCTGCGGTTGGGGTCTCTGTCCTCATGGGACCCAAGGAACAGAACCCAGGGACAGTGACCTTGGTTTCATGTCCTAGGTACTTTGCAAAATAGGCCTTTGTCCTTCTCAGAACTGCCTTGACTCTTCCAGGAAGCCTTTTCTCGTCCTCTGAACCCTCGCCTGTTCTATTGCCCTATCACTTGGGACTTTTTCCTTTTGAGAAGAACCTCTGTCCCTGAGCCCCGAGGGCAAGGGACAGTGAATTATCTATCAGCACAGGTTGGATGTAGGAGACTGCTTAGGCCCATCCAGGGTCTGGATGAGCCCTCTTGACATGTAGGGAGAGTCAGCATGTTTTCCCAGACCCCGAAAGAGTCTGTAGGCCTTGGAGCTGGGGACAAAAGAAAGGCTGGGACATGCTGACTCGGTGGAAACTATGTGTCAAGAAAAACTCCAGTGGTGGATGGTGAGGCAGGGGAAACCTGGAAAGTCTGGCTCAGGTGGGGACTTACCCTGTAAACTGCAGGCCGAGAGCTAGAAAGTGAGGGGGTGGACAGGGAGGTGACTCGGCCTCCCTGGGCCTCTACCTTCCTGGGGTTTGAAGCAGAAATCAGCAGAACCCATTGGCCCTACACATGCAGTGGCAGTGGGGGGTGGGGGACTGGAGCGGGAGGGAGCAAAGGGAAGAGGGGAGGACATCCTGCGGACACAAGGCAGGGGCAGGAGTGGCAATTTTCCAGATGGAAGTCCTTGCCCAGGGCCAACTGCATCCCTGTCCAGGATGAAAATAGCCCTTCCTCTTCCCTTCACCCATCATTCTCTCAACCTCCCCCATAACTTCCCAGAGTCCTGTCAGATACTTCCACACTGGAGGCCCCATCCCAGATGATAAATATCCCCTCACATGTCCATCCGTTCCCAACAGAAGATGCCTCCCTCTCTCAAGCAATGCTGGTACTGATTCTAAAATCACTTCTCATGTGTCTATCCGTATGCTCCGGGTTTCTCCTCTCTCCCTGTCCCTCAGGAGATCTTGTCACCGGGGTCTGCCCCAGCAACCAGAAGGATACTTGGGACCCCTGACTCAAGGTTGTCCATCACCCAGCTCCATGAGGGATCATACCCCAGGCCATCACCTCTCCCGGGGACTGTGGAGAGGGAGTGCTTTGCCCAGTCTAGACCTCAGGAGGCTGATCCATCACGGGGTGAGGGACTGGGTTTAGGGATTTCTGAAGGCCTTTTCAGTACCTGTCAGTCCAGATCACCAAGAAAAATGCTCCCAGTGAGATGGGGACTGATGGCGGGCAGTGTGGCAGACACGAGAGGGAACAAGTACCCAGGTAAAAAGGTAATCTGGATGTTCTGCCTGCTACCACCTGACCTCCAGCCAGGTTATTCTGTCCCCCCAGCCTGATGGGCTGCTGCATACCCAGGGAGCCTGGCTCCATGCCCAGCTGTAGCCCTCTGCTCTCAGGCCCCCTAGGCAGACTCTAGGCCCTTACCGCAGCTCCTGGTCCCTGTTCCCAGTATTTCTTACCTGCCCAGCACAGGAGCCCTCTGGCCCCATTCACATGGTCTTCCTGGCCTAGCCTGGCTGCCCAGACACAGTTTCAGCTCCCCTCAGCGTCGTAGCCACCGCCTGTCTCCTCGCACCCACGTCCCACCCTGACTTCCTGCCTCCTCCTGAGGGCTCCGCAGCCAACCGGGCCCCAGCAGCCCAACCACAAGCCTCTAGCACCCAAAGCTTCCTGCTGCTATAGCCCCTGGCCTCTCAGCCCTTGGGCATCCTATACATCTCCAATCCAGGCCCTCCTCCCCCTGAGGGTGGCACTTGGAGGTGAAGGGAGGGTATTTGATGGAACCTTCCTCCTGCCCTCTAGGGCGCACCTGGACAAGAAATTCAAGGGGCAGCCTTTAAACTCCAATGAACAGGAGACAGACAAGCACTCAGCTTTCTGTGAAAGGCAAGTAGCACCACCACCATAGTCACAGTCTGAGAGATGAGTGACCCTTTCATTACAGTCAGAGGGCAGAAGTAACATCACCACAGAGTCAGAGGAGAGGACAACATCCCTGTGAAATTGTTGGAGAGCAGACACCGTGTTACAGTCAGACAGATACCAGGCTACCACTGTTGCCAGTCTCGGCAGCTGAACACCAGCCGAGTCATCTCAGGACACAGGATAATAGTTTTATTACATGCAGAGGGTAGGCTAACATCCCTTTCACAGACAGAACACCTCTTACAGTCAGAAAGCCCGATGACAGGCTGTTTGAGGGAGCAGGCAGGACAACCCTGTGTCTTTAAGAGAGCAGAGTAAGAGCCTCTGATGTAGGCAGTGAGCAGGACAGCACCCACTAATTATGGTTGGAGAGAAGGGCAATCCTTCTAACCCAGGTAGAGGCCAGGCCGCAGCCCTGTCAGAGGAACAGGGCCTGGCACCACCTCCTGCAACAGGTGGAAGACAGAACAAACACTCCCGCCCAGGCACCCAGGTGCAGGCGGCAGCCTGGTAGCACTTTCTGTTATGGGAAGGAGGCAGGAGGCAGGAGGCAGGAGCCTTGACACAGGCAGCAAGTAGGCCAACAATCTCCCTTACCCCCAGGACCCTGCTGAGGGTAGCACCCATCGTAGGCTGAGGGACAGGTCACCACTGTTATGAGGAACTCTAGGTGGCCTCTATTAGGCACAAGAACTGGGCCTTGACCCCACCCAGAGGAAAACATACATGTGTTTCCACCCCTTGAGCCTGCACTAAGTTAGCGGGTTGGGGGAAGGGAGCCCACAGAGCATTGTTGGGGTTTGTGAGGTAGAAGCCTATGCTGTGTTCACCTCAGCTGCAGAGAGAAGGGGGAGACAGGAAATGGGTGGGGGGAAGAGGAAGCCTGAGTTGGAAAGTCAGACAAAGCGGGTAACACAGAAACAAAAGCTGAGAAATACAAAGTTTGAAAAAAAAAAAAAAACTACAGAATGACACAGAGCTCAGAGTCCCAGCAGCAGGCCCCAGCTCCCCTTGCTCTGAACCTGAGCACCTCCCAGCCCATCTCTGGGCCTCAGCACCACAGCAACAATACCACTGGGGACAGTAATCATACTCAGTAGAAAGTTCACATTTATTGAGGGCTTACTGTGCATTATCTCACTTAAGATATATCAAACTACTGGGGAGTGAGAATTAGCATTTCCATTTTAGAGGTAAAGAAACAGATGCAGGGGTTAAGGGAGCCCCTCAAGTTCCAATAGAAACAAATGGTGATGTCGGCATTGAACCCAGGTCTATCAGTTCCTGCATTCTTCAGCTGCCCATTTAGCCAAGTCTCCTTCCGGAGGGGTGATTTAGATTTTAAGTTCTTTTTCAGTTCTGATCTTGGTAAGGTGAAGAGAGAGAGATGGCGCTGTGGGAGAGTTGGTGATCCATTAGTCTATCTCCCTCCCCAAGGCCAGCATTCTCTCCTGCAGTGGAATCCTTGGTCCCTTCAACATGCAACATACAGCGACCTTGGGACTAAATAAATGAGTGCAGAGTCCTTGATAGGAAGCAGGGCGTTTATTGGGGGAGCCTGGGAGTCTGTGAGCTCCTCCCCTTCCTCCTAGCTGCATTACCCTCCATCTAGGGCAGCAAGGGCAACAGGATGCTGGGGCTTTATGCTCCCAGAGGGCTGCCTGTGCCCCCACCCCTCCCCCACCCCTCCCCAGGTGCTGGCTCCTCTGGGCACCCCTCCCTTCCTCCTTCCCAGGTGGGCTTCTTCCCAGATGGGCTGGGGTAGCGGGTGCCCCTCAGCAGAGGGTGAAGCGCCGGGAGCTGATGTTCATGCGCGTGAGGCCCAGGTGCCGCAGCGGCGGGGCGAGGGCCATGCCGGCCCCGGGTTCCAGCTCCAGCTCCAGCTCGGCCTCGTTCAGCAGCTCTTGGTGCAGGTGACAGGCTTGGTCCACCTTCAGCCGGTGCAGCTGGGCCCGCAGCCGTAGCAGCTGCCCTGCCAGCTGTCGGTCCTGTGCCTGCATCTCCCGCTGCGGCCGAAAGGGGGCGTGATCCCGCTGGATCTCCATTCTTCCCTTCCGCTCTACACCCTGGGTCTCTGCTCTGGCTGTGTCCTCCCCACCCCCTCGTTCCTCTGCCATCTCTCAAATCTTGCTCTAAACCCTAGATAAGGAACCATTTTTGCACAAATACAGGTGCCTGTAGCCCAATCCTAGATCAACTAAGTGGAATCTCCAGTTTGGAGGCTGGATATCTTTACATTTGCACATACTGGGTTAAGAGCCATCTGTGCAACACTTGCCTCTGTCTACAGCTGGTCAGTGACTCCTTTGTATCTTTGAGGTATAACAATTCCCAGAGTATGGGAAGCCATGCCTTTGCCACCTGTAACTGGTGGCCCCCCAAGGGCAGGGCTCTATCCCCTGAGTCACAGAAGCACAAGGTCAGTAGATTGAGTGGACTCCTTCTAGCAAGGCTCCCTGAATAAAACACTTGGCAAGTCCATTCCTGGTTCTTCAGCCCTGGGACAAAGCCAAAGGGGTGGGGGGCAGTTGCTGGAGGTGGCATCCCCTCCCACACCGGGGGTCTTGGGCCCTAAGGAGGACTGGCCCTCAGGCCCTCTGCCAGGCCACCCACCCCACCAGACTCACCAGCTCCCGACGGAGCCACTCAAGGGCAGAGTCGATTGAGTCGAAACCGCAGATGGCCCCGGGTCCCCCCGGCCCAGGTCTGGCTTGGGACCTGCGCCAGGCCTGGCTCTGGACTCGGGCTGTCCACTCCAGGTATGAAGGCCGCCGAGTCTGCAGCTGCAGCTTGGCAGTCAGTGCCTTTACAGAGTCCAGGCTCTCTTGTTCCTCATCCTCCTCTTCTTCGCCTACTGCCTGGAATTTCAGTGGCCCCAGGGCCATGGTTTGGGGTGAATGATAGGGCAAGGCTGGCAATATTGCCCAGGAAGAGGTGGCAGAAACTGAAGGTGGAAGAAATGTGCCAGGGAGTGCGCAATGGTGAGTGCTCAAGGTGGGTCAGGGAGGTTTGAGTGTGTCAGGGTGGGTAAGTAGATGGGTATGGGAGGCTAAGTATGCAAGGGCTGGGATTTTCCTGGACTGCTGACCCAGGGGCCACGTGATGCCCATCCGGGTTGGGGGCAGGAGGAGCTCTGCTCCTCTGGCCCCTTGGATGAATTTTATTGTCTTTGACCAGAAGGAGACACCCAGTTCCCAGAAAGGAAGTTGCTCCAGGATAAGAAAAGCATCATTCACACCAGAGTGTTGGCCCTCTTCCCAAGACTCAAGTTAAGGGAGCTGGGAGAGGATAGAGCTGCCCCCTGTCCTCACTTATGACCCTAGCTCTTGCTCTTCAGCAAAGAGTGTCCAGATCCCTGGCACAGGAGTCAGGAGACTGGGTTCTGGCACTGGCTCTGTGGGACCTTGGACAAGTCACTGGCTCTCTGTTAGGACAGATCAATGATGTCAAGCTACACAGCTAAAGAACTTTAGGTTTCCCTGGGAATCCTTCAAGGACTGTGTGCGAGGTAAGAGCAAAGCTGTGGATAGGCTCCTAGACCTCTCTCCCCCTTCCCCATCTCAGGGCTTCAACCAGAGCAGTTCCCTTTTTCAAACCTTGTATTGAAATAGAACACACCCACAGAAAAATTCACGTATCATAAATACATGGCTTGATGAATTCTCCTATGTAAGCAGCACCCAGATCAAGCAACTGAGTATTACCAGCATCCAGGAAGTCTCCTTTTGTGCTTCTGGCCTATCACAACTCTCCTAATGTAATGTAACCACGCAAAGGGCTCACTCCTGTGCCTGTAGTCCAAAAAGCCAAGCTTTGACAGGGTGTTTGCAGTAAAGTAAGGGTTTATTGCAGGGGGCCAAGCGTGGGAGTGGGAGACAAGCCTCAGATCCAGTCCAACTTGGTCTTTGCGTTGTTTTTTGTTTGTTTGTTTCTTTTTTAAAGACGAAGAACAAAGAGGCTGGGATTACTCACCATCTTGTGACGTTTCTGTGACATTTCTTAATCGTTTTTGTGACATTTCTTAATCGTAGTTTCAGGAGTCAGGATGTTTCTGGTTTATGATTATCTGGCCAGGTGGTCCATGGCTGGGGGCTGATGAGCTGTTAGCTCATCTTGCCCTGGAGAAACAACTTGAGTTTGTATGTTAATGATATCTAGAATAGCAGTTTTAGTATGTTAATGATGTTATTGACAACAACAATTTTAGTCATCCTGACTCTGGTTGATGAGGGTTCAGTTAGTACAGGATTGAGGTCAGAGGGGACAAAAAAGGGAATAAAGTTATGGATAGAGAGATTAACCATAAACTTAGTAAGGGAACTAGGTTTTAGGGGAACCTGGTTTCAGTAATACTACCCTATTTTCTGACAGCATAGATTAGTTTTGCCTTTTTGTATATTTTCCAGTGATTCTCAAACTTTAGCCTAGGTCAGAATCACCTAGAAAGCTTGTTAAAATGGATTACTGGGGTAGCTCACAGCGAAAAAAAATGTGACAATGAATATATGTATGTTCATGTATAACTGAAAAATTGTGCTCTACACTGGGTTTTGACACAACATTGTAAAATGACTGTAACTCAATAAAAAAATGTTAAAAAAAAAAAAATGGACTACTGGGCTCCATTCCTAGAGCTTTGGATTCAGTATGTATGGGACAGGCCTATAATTTTCATTTCTAACAAATTCCCATCCCAGCTGATGCTGCAGGTCTGGAATTTTACAATTTGAACTCTTTTATGTCTGGTTCCTTTCACAGAGCATTTCCAATTTTATGTTTATATTATGGGGGTCACCTATGATTTCAGTATTTGAAAGAAGCGTTGTGCACACACACACACAAAAGCCTGGAACCTAGTAGACCAGAAGGCTCTTTGAAGGCAGGCATATAGTTCTTCTTAGTAATCAGTGTAGGCATTGATGTTTAAGAAATAAAAGACTACTTGGATGGATGGGTCTTCTAGTAAATAGATTTAAACTCTTATAATTTACCAGCTTAAGTATGTTTCTGGCCAGACTGAAAATTGAACAGAAACTTCCTCAGCCATCCTTGGGTTCCAACACCCAATGCAGGGCCCAGCTCAGTGTAAAGTAAATCATATTTGGTCAAAGGATGGAGTGATGAGGGAAGAGGCTCTGGAGGGCAGAACTATACCAGAAGTGACCCCCATAGAGGGCGCCCTCAGGCAGGGACTTCCAGCTGTGGTGGGGGAGGGGCACCAGCGACACAGCTGCTTGCACTTAAGGTGGACCAAGGGATTTCCCCCACCCGACCTCAGATGTAGGGGAGGACGCAGATAGTTCCCAGTTTCACACCCACTCTTTCCACCCCTTCTACCAGGGTACAGGAGAAAAGATAGTGTTTTTCTTTATTTTTTTAAAGCAGTAAGAGTGCCAGCACCCCAGGGTTGAACAAAATAAAAATATGAGTGCTCCCTGTGACCAGGCACCAGGGAAAGGGCTTTAACAAGATAATTCTCCCCATTTCACAGATGATTAAATTGAGGATTTCTTAACAGGTTCTAGCCCCGGGGTCCTAATTAAGTGCTGGCAATAGGAGGGGGAAAATTCCTGTGAAACTGCGGTCCCTTCCTCCAAGGGGCCTCCTTAACAGCTGTCCTGCCGGCGTCGCCAGCTGCCCAGCCAGTTCCTGTCCCTGTCGGAGCCCGCGCTCACCCCGCCTGACGCTCCTGGAGTCTGTCCTTCTGCTGGGCCCCAGGCCCACCACTAGCGGAATGGAGTTCTCGGAGCTGATCCGTACGGGTCAGGCTCAAGCCGAGCTCCTGCGGGGCCCGGAGGCACCCCCGTTGCGCGGCACGCTGTGTGTCACCGGCCACCACCTGCTGCTGTCCCCAGGGCCCCAGGCGACTCCGGACCTGTGGCTGCTGCTGTTGCGTAGTGTAGACTCCATCGAGAAGCGGTGAGACGTGGCGGGGAATCCCCATAGTGGGGAGCGAGCGGCTCGGCCGGCAGAGGGGGAAGGGCAAGCACAGTTGGATCTGGTGTCCCCCTGCATAACGTACAATCCTAAGAAACTCGCTTCTCCTCCCCTGGTAGGGGGCAGGGGACACTAAGCCTAAGCCCGTCCATCCCCAGGGTAGCGGGTGACTCTGGCACCATCACGCTGCGCTGTAAGGACCTGCGAGTCCTGCAGCTGGACATAGAGGGCGTGGAAGCGACGCTGAACATTGCCCGCTCCATTGAGGTACCCCAAGCACTTAAGCTACCCTATCCCGTAACGAGGGAAGTAAATTGGGGTTACTGCTCAAGGGGACTCAGCATCCAGTGCTATCTCTGAGCATAGCTAATGGCAAGGGGATGGTTGCAGGGTGGTCTGGAGTACGTGGAGAGACGGGAGCTGCGGAGCCAAGGGTTGGATTCCGATCTTTCCTAGACCCCTTGACTTCCTTCCCCAGGCGCTGTCCTCCCTGGAATCGGTCATCACCTCCTTTCCGTTCTTCTACCGTCCCAAGGGCTTGAGATTGGGCGACGCCTGGCACTTTCATCCGCCCGAACGCTACTACAAGCGAGTAGCTCGTGAGGTGGGCGCGGTCGTGAGGGCCTGGGAATTTGGGAGCGCCTAGCCGGAAAGGGAAGCGGGGACCGCGCTCTCAGTGGGTGCCCTAGACCTGGCCCCTTCCTACGCCGCAGACCAACGCGTGGCGGCTGAGCGAGGCGAACGAGGACTTCAGCTTGTGCCCCAGTTACCCCCGCGCTGTGATCGTGCCTCGCGCTGTGGATGATGATGCCCTGGCTCGCAGCGCCCGCTTCCGCCAGGGAGGCCGCTTCCCAGTGCTCAGCTACCACCACGCTCCCAGCCGAACCGTGAGCCCCGCCCTCCCCAATCCCGCCGCTAGAACCAACTGCGTTCCTACTTGGCTCTTCTGTACTGGCGGGGCCAATTCTCTGCCCTGCAGCGGCCGGGGCTCCTGCTCTATTCTGGCCCCGCCCCCTCCGCTCTATCCAGCCTTTACCACGCTGACCCCGCCCCTCTTGACGGTTTCCGAGTCTCGCCTATCTCTGGCCCCTCCTCCGGCTGGTCTGAGCCCCAGAAGCCTCGTCCCTCCTTTTGTCAACCCATAAGCCTCCCACGGTCTACCCTTCGGGTCTCTCCCTACTCCGGTCACAACCCGCCCAGACCCAGGTCCGACACTCGTAGGGCTCCTGCGCCCCTGCTCCAGTCTGCAGCCCCTGCTTAGAGACCCTCTGAGTGAAGTCCCTGAACCAGGGCTGGGTGGGTATGGCTTCCGGAGTTGAGTCCCTGTCCGCAGGTGCTGCTACGTTCCAGCCAGCCCTTGACCGGGCCCCAGAAGCGGCGTTGCGCTGAAGACGAGGCCCTGCTGCGAGCTGTGCTGGCAGGGTCTCGCCCTGGGGCCCGGGGCTTCATTGTGGATACGCGCTCAGCCCAGACCGCCAAACAGGCCCGCATGACTGGCGGCGGCACAGAGGCTAAGGCCGCCTACCTGGGCTGGAAAAGGCTGCACCGGCCCCTGGAGAGGTAAGGGACCTTCCCATCTTCTCCTAGGTTCTTTCCTGCTATGGGGGCGGGGAAGGGGTGTCTTGCAGGAAGCTTGAGGACTGTTAGGTCTTTCCTGGTAGCCATGTCGCCAGGTGGGCATCCCCACTTGCACACTCCTAGTGACAGAGCCTATTCCTCTCTAGACATCCCAACTCTGCCTGGAAAGAAAAAGCACCTCTTCACATTAAACAATGAAACTGAAGTTTGTCTTCCAGGAACAACCTCACCACACATACACCTTGCATTGTTACCAGCCCTGCCCTGAGAAGTTTGCGGGCACAGCTGTTATGTATTCCCTCTGTGTTCAGGTGATGGCAGTATCAAGAGGAAGTCCTGGGAGAGTTTTTCTGCTTTGAGGAGAGTGAACTATTCTCCTATCCAGATCACAAAACTCCACTTATTCATTTATTAAACATTGAGCACTGAGATGGTGGCCAGCCCAGACATAGCTGGAAGATCAGCAGTAAATGAGCAATTAGAATTTATGTGCTCAGTAGCAGTATAGAGGAGGCACCGCTCTCTTAGACTAGGTCATCAAAAGAAAGTTCCCCTGAAAATAGGATGCTGTAGCTGAGATCTGAAAGAGAGAAAGGGTAAGCCAGAGGGTGGCAGGACATTCCAGGTGGAAGGCACTGAGGTGTATAGAACCAGGGAGCCTAGTCATTTGTCCTGTTTGTGGAACTGCAAGTCATTCAGTATGGTGGAGTGTCGAGTGTGAGGTGGAGGGTGAGAGATGGATGGAGGTAGAGAGGCTAAAGCGGTGACGGGGGCCTGAGCAAAGTTCTTGAATGCTGTGATTCTGAACTTAGATTTTACCCTAAAGGCAGTGTGGGGAGCCACTGAAGGCTTTTTTAAAAATTTGAGGTACCAGGGATTGAACCTAGGACCTCGTGAATGCTAAGCATGCGCTCTATCATTGAGGTATACCCAACCCTCAGAAGACTTTTAAATAAGGCTGAAAAAGGCTCAATTAGATTTTCTGGCAGGAGATTACTGGTGTTCTAAAGCAGAACAGTTTCTGGAAAGTAGGAGCATATATCAGACCCCCAAGAGTATTGTTTCTCTTGTCAGACTGGGGCTCCCCTGGGGATACTGTGTTGCTCCCATCAGATCAGGGTACTTCAAGGGTACTGTGACACTTTCATCAAATTTGGGTGTTTCCCGGGGCATTCTGTGTTTCCCCAGAGGGCTGTGTGACCCCTCTCCAGGTATGGCTAGGCCTCCCCAACAGACTAGGTCTCCTCAAAGGGTCTTGAGTCTCCTCCACTAGGTTGAGGAATCCTCAAGATTGAAGAATCCTCTCATTAGATTAGCTGGGCTCCCCAAAGGGCTCTGAGTCCCGCTTGTCAGCTGGGCTCCTTGGTGAGTTCTATGTCTCCCTCATTGGTCTGGAGCAGTTGTTCTCAGGCTGTGCTCACCAGAGTCCCACTTGTACAGGGGGCGGCCCCTACAGGAGAGCTTCGTGCACCTGGTGGAGGCCTGTGGGGACCTGGAGCAGAGCATGGACCACTGGCTTAGTCGACTAGCGGGCTGCCGCTGGCTGGCACATGTGAAGGAGGCACTGAGCACCGCCTGCCTAGCAGCCCAGGGCATGGAGCGGTAAGCACCTCCCCCAACCCATGAGACAGAACAGGGCAGGGTGGGCGGGGCTCTCAACACCTTGCCACAAAACCATGTCTCAGTAAGCAAACAGCCTTGAAATGGGCCCGCAGTATTCCTAGCCTGGCCACCTCAGGCAGGGAAGGACTGGCCACTGTTGATAAGCCCTGGTCAACAGGGAAGGGGCCTGCGTCTTGGTAC